GTGTTTAAGAGTGTGATTGGTCTTAAATTGTTCAAATTAGTTTTTTCTTTCCCTGGTTTTGGAATCAATTTAATTACACCTTGTTTCATTGTTTCCATAAGTTCTTTTCTGGTAACACATTCTTCTATAGCCTGGAATAACAAAAGTTTTAAATCTTCCCAGAAATATTTATAAAAGTTAGCTGTTAGTCCGTCAGACCCAGGTGAACGGTCTGATGCCATTTTTTTAATTGCACAATCAAATTCAGTGATTTTTAGATTTTCATCACAGGTTTTCTTAAAGTTTTCATCTTTAACAGGAATTAAATTGTTTACTTTATCAAAAAAGGATGAAGTCATTTGTTCTACCTGTGAAGATTTATAGAGATGACTGTAAAATTTAAATACTTCTTCTGTAATGCGTTTGGGTTCTGAGCATTCCACTCCATCAATCACAAGACTGTTAATTGAATTATATTCTTGTCTCCGTTTTTCTAAATTACAAAAGAAGGCAGAGTTCTTCTCACCCTCTTCGATCCACCTGGCTCTGGACCTTATGTAGGCTTCCTTAGCCTTATTAATATACATGTCATCTAATTTAGACTGCAGTTCTTTATATTGTCTTTATCTTCTTCAGTCCAATTCAATTTACTATAAAGTGACACAAGATCTTTGACCACTATTGTTTCTTCCATTCTTATTTTCCTRTTTAAATCTTTTGCAAATTTAATTGAATACCTTCTAATGTTAAATTTTAAGTATTCCCATTTGGATATAGCTGTTTCAATAGCAGTGTCATTTTTCACATCCAAAATTAGTCTCTTGATGGATTGACAGAAGTCATARTTTTTTAACAATTGTGCATTAAATTTCCAATAACCTTTATTTCTGTTGAATATATTTTGATTTTTTAATTTCAAACTAATGATGCARTGATCACTTAATGGACAGTTTGCAATCATTGTTTCTTCAACATAATTTTGGATTTCACCAGATACTAGCCAATAATCGATCCGTGATCTACTTTGACCATTGGGTTTGTGCCAGGTGAACTGTTTAACTCCACTGTGTAGAGTTCTCCAAACATCTATCAGTTTCATATTGTTAACAAAATCTTCAAGAATTGGGTTTTTTCTTTCACTAGATAATGACGAAGGCCACCGATCCATCCACTCATCTGGAGCCAAGTTAAAATCTCCTCCAACTATAGTATAATTAGATGGAAAATTAGCATTAAACTCTGTGATTATTGTTGTTATCTGATGTAACAGGTTTTTATTTTTTTGATCATTGTTATATCCATAAATGTTTAGTAAAATTATAGGAACATTATCAAGTTCCAAAACACAGSCTACCCAGTGTCCATCCTCATCTGCTTTTTGAGCCAAGATCTTACCAGGACATCTGTATAAACAGATRGCAACTCCAGCTGAACGATTCGTCCCATGGCTGAAAAGAATCTTGTCTCCCCATTGTTGTGACCAGAACTTCACGTCAGATGCGTCAGAATGTGTTTCCTGTAAAAAGGTGCAGTGTGCTTGTTGTCCTTTGCAAAACAAAAAAACAGCTTTTCTCTTCAATGAGTCTTTTAGTCCCSTTGTATTAAAAGAAACAAAAGAAAGTTCAGTTTTTAACTGAAAAACAGAACACATGAACAATAAAGGATACTTTAGGAGAGTGTAAAAAACTTGAGGTTGAGGTCCCATAAACAAAACGTTCCACTACTTTCCCTGGATCACTTCAGCTGCATCTCAGCCCTCAGCAGAAGAGTCCTCCACGATGCGTCTCCCMTCGATGAAACCAAAAGGGCCCCTGAAGCCCGCAGCTTTGCCTTCTTTCCTTGCCTTTTCAATCCTTGGCCATAATGCCTGTCTTGCTCTCCAGTCTTCTGGGGTCAGATCTTCAGTGAAACGAATCCCTTCTTCCTTGCAAACTGCAGAAGTTTTGGTTCTCCTCCAGATGTCATCTCTCACTCCTCGTCTCACAAACATGATGATGATTTGTCGATTTCTGYTGTCTGTTATTCTACCCACTCTGTGGACAACATCAACCTCTTCATTCATCTTTGAAGCCAGGTCAGGTGCTATTTTACACAGGAGCGCCACCACCTCAGCTCGGATGTTCTCATTAGACTTCTCTTTTTTTCCTTTAATGCGCAGACACCACCGCCTTTTGTATCTTTCACTGTTCATAACTCCTTCTTTCATGCGCACATTCTCTTTTGTGAGTGTCTCCACTTGTTTCTCCATGTCTTTTATTTTTTTCTTACACTCCACAAGCTCGTTTGAGTTAAGCTGCACCGACTTAGCAATAGTAGCTAGCATAGCACTGTGTTGCTGCATTTGTTTGCTTATATCCTCCATGCGGTCGTCAACTCGCATCCCTAACTCATTAACGTTCTGTCCCAGAGTGCTAATAGCTGCCAAAATAGCCTCTGTATTTGTTTCTACGTCAGGCGTACCTTTTGTTTTCTTTTCCGTTGTCATTTTTTCTGGAGTATTGGTCGGAGTTGAGGCTTCTCTTTCCCTCTTGCTGCTAGCTGTAGCTGTTTCCATCGGCGCTGCGTAATCGTGTTCGCTTTTACTCCCAGAGTTTTTAAACTGCAAAGCTTTCACAGCCGGCGGGTTTGCATTACTCTTCTTCATTCTTCAATCTGAGTGCTGSTTAAGTTTTTTGTAGTGGGTTTCACTCTTCAATAAACATTAACATCAGGACCTCTTGCAGAGCTCGGGAAAACGTGTCTGCTCAATCCGCCATCTTCCCGGACTCCAGGAAGAAGCTCAGATGGGAACAGGAAGTAGCTCTGATGGGAACAGGAAGTAGCTCTGATGGGAACAGGAAGTAGCTCTGACAGGAACAGGAAGTAGCTCCGACAGGAACAGGAAGCAGCTTAGACTTTTTTGTTGAAAGAATTGTACAAACCATAATGCAGTAATTCCAATAATTATTCAAATACAAAATAAAATAATATAAATACTAAAGAACATTTGAAAACAGCAATTTCAGACTACAAGACTGCTAAATTATGTTCTATGATAACATTGAGAGGTATCTGGGTAAGAGATGTCAGAGAGGTCCTAATGTAAAGTAGAAGGTCTCTCATAAAACAGGACACGTCCTCAGCTTGATGTCCAACAGTCCAACACAACAAAGAACTACATCCAGTTTGTATTTTTCTGTTTGTGTCCTGCAGATTACAGAGGCTGTCCTGTGAACGCAGAGCGTCTGACCGTCTACAACACGTCTCAAGGCTGGCGTGAGTCCCTGCAGTCCTGTCAGAACCTGAACCTGGACCTCATCAGTCTCTCTGAAAGCCGTCTACAGAGACATGTGTGCCTCAAGCTCCAGCAGGACAGTGATCAGAAAGTCTGGATCGGGATGCGTCGCAGCTCCAAGACCGGGAACTGGTACTGGCTGAGCAGAGCCCCGGTCCGAGACACCAACTGGGGCAGCGGGGAGCCCGGCAGAGTGGACGAGGGCCAGTGTGCCGCCATGAGCGTGAGAAGCAACTGCACCTGGAGCGACGAGGACTGCTGCTCCGCCTTCCAGTCCGTCTGCTACAAGGAAGCAGACTACCTCGTTAGAATCAACTAATCAATCGACACTAACGAGTTTGAGACGTTTGGTTTGAGTTAGAAAAGATCCTTTGATTCAAACATTTAAGATTTAGATTTTTATTCAAAGTCAAACATCTGTTCACAGCTAAATATAATAATATTAGATTATTTATCAAATTTATGACAATTTCTTCAGTTTGAACCA